CGTTACATTAGGTTAGTACAGCATCCTGTACGTTACATTAGGTTAGTCACAGGAACACACTTACACATCCCCAAACATTTACCTCAAAACACTGTGGCCATTGGCCAACATGGAAAACCATATGGGTTGTTAGTTGTTTTCTCCATTGCTGAATTATAGAATGTATACGAATGTATATCAGCTTAGCAAGTAACATTATAATTAAATTGTTTATCATGTTTTCCATAAGAACAAAGCAATTACACAGGCTGTATAAATGACTTAAAACCACATTTAGTTGTATTGATTGAGAATGGATACCCACTTAAATAGTTTCGTATGTTCATCTTTCGAAAAAGAAAAAAAAAAGGTGTTTAATGTTGTTCAATTCTGAAGTCCAAAAAATACAAACTATAAGTACACAGTCACCTGTAGATAAAAAAATTGATTTAAATACTAATCCCCCAAACTTGTTTTTTGATACCAGCCTACACATGGTTCCATACATTTCGAAGTAATACGTGGGTCAGTACTCGAGCACTCGCCGCTGCTCATAAGGCTAATTTATTTAGCTGTTTAAAGTGTTTTAACAGCACATTGCACTAAAAGCTCAATTACACCTTTGGTATTACAAGCAAATATAAAATGCATGCATGTTTCCTTGGTTGTTGGCTCTTGATGTGAATATTAGGACCAAACAGCATTTGAAATCATTCATTTTGTAGGTCAGGTTAACTCCCTCCAGATGAAAAAAAAACAAAAAAGTCCTGAATATTGCACAGCTTTACCTTAAGGTGGTTCCTAGAGGCAGGTCCACGGATTCTAACTCAGCAAAGATATTCCCAAAAGCCCTCTCTTCTTCTTTGTTCTCCTCTTCACTTTGACTGGGAGGGTCAGGTAGCGCAGCATGGACCCTGTCACTGGCCATTTCTGTCTTCAGATTCGAAGTATGATCACTACATTTCTGAATGTGTGAAAGAGAAGGAAACCAATAACTGTGGATGTGTGTGTGTGTGTGTGTGTGTGTGTGTGTGTGTGTGTGTGTGTGT